TGACTGTAGATTAAAACACCATGTAAAGTGTAAACCTCTCATACCCCTATGTACCCCCTGAGAAGTGCAAATGTACCCCAACCTCAGGTTGGGAATGTCTGCTCTAAGGGAAATGAAAGTTAGTAAAACTTGATTGTTGCTGCTGTACGTGAATTCAGTCATGGCTAAGAACCGAACACACGGCTTGCTTGAATACACAGAGCAGCAGTGGAACCTTTCAGTGCTTCAGCAAATAAAACGTAAGTCTATATCGATCCGAGCCTTTCCCGATTCTGTGTTGTGACAGAGAGAATTGACTAGTCTTGTAACATGTCTGGGTAGCCATCCTTCTATGTCTCAAAACTATAAACGTAGCCATCATGATTTAGTCTAGTTAACTACAGTTTCACTTCGTTGGGTCCAACTAAAAATACCACCGGAACTTATTTTTTATTCTTACGTTTGTATGTTTTTATCGTTGATAATTTAAGGAAACTTCGGAAATTTGACAGTTTTGTTTAAATGTTACCTTTATCCTTGTTCACTCTATATTATGTTATAATTCAGTTATTGGTTATTTCATGCGATGCTTTGATTTAAATCGTAATGCGCAAACTTATAACATTTTCCACTCGAGTAAATTCAAATAGTCACCGAATCCTTGGTTTTATTTCAGAGTAATATATGTTTTAACTGTGATTATAAATTTTACGAAATGCCAAAAAAAACAACAACAACAACACTGCTAATAAATATTTAATAGTAGCGTATATTCCACTTCATTGTATTGTATTGTTTGAAGTTAAGCACAAAGCTACACGATGGGCTATCTTTGTCTGCCCACCACGGGTATCGAAACCCGGTTTCTAGCGATTTAAGTCTGCAGACATTCCGCTGTGCCCATGGGGAGGGGGGTGGGGCTTTCCGCATCATATTTCTAAAGCTGCTTCATAACAAAATAAGTGGTTACGGGGCCGAGTGTTGCTCAGTAGTTAGCGGGTCGGACTGTGAACTTTTTTTAGTAAATGAGTTATATATTAATATTAAGCCTACAAATAAGTTATATGTATTTAGGAAGTAAAAAATTTATTTGATATCAGAAGTACTTTTACATTATTTATCACGTTTGTTTAGATCTTATAGCACTATTTTCTTTTGTTTCTCTCCTTTCAGGAGTTCCACTTCAGAAGTTATAAAGTTTTTTTTTTGTCATTGTATGAACAAGGCCTCACAGCGGTTTGTCTACGGACTTACAACGCTTGAAATCGGGTTTCGATACCCGTTGTGGGCAGAGCATAGATAGCCTATTGTATAACTTTGGGCTTAATTACAACCAACCAACCTATGAACAAGACCTTTTGTATGTATATTTTTATTCTTTAGGATCCATTGGTGAAATATGTGGATCTTGGAGGTTCTTACGTTGGACCAACACAAAACTACGTACTGCGTGTGGCAAAGGAATTAGGAATTGAAACGTACAAGGTGTACGAAGAGAAAGACCATTTATTTTATAAAAATGTAAGCCATCCACAAAAATATTCAATTATTATGCTTTAATCCACTCACACGCACTAACGTACTTCGATATGTAAATATATATATATATATTTTGCAGTGCGATTTGCAGTGCCATCTTTTGATGATATTTTAAACCATTGGTAATTAATATTCCACTTTCAGCTTAGTGAAAAAGGAAATCACAACAAACTATTGAGTGGTTGTTTTGTCCTATAAACCTGCAGGTGAAGGTAAAAACTATTAAGTTCTAAGGGTAAATTTAAAATATTCATGTAAAATATAACAATAGTTTTACGTTTTTCTTCGATCACAATGGTAAATAGTTTTAGAAATCTCCGCTGCATATATCAGCATAACGAACACCCACAGTGGTATTTCTACAAGATGTCATGCTATTTAATTCTATATAATTTACATATTTAATTCTATATAATTTACATATTTAATTATATATAATTTACGTATCTAATTATATATATATAATTTCATTGTATATAATTTATTATATGTTAATTATGCAGCTCTATACGAAAAACTCTTGATTCTATTCAGTACTTTTCGTTTCGTTTATATGCTTTAATTGTTATGAATACTAACTTTCTTGGTTGATTTTCGACTCATCACAATTATCAATATTGTTTATCAAAAAAGTACGTCTTAATATTAATATAACTGTTCCAGTTATGAACAACAAATCCGTAAAGAAAGCACTTTTCTTATACTTTCAGTTATGATCTTCTCTTCTGCAAAATATTATTTTTATTATAAGGAATCAAATTGTTTTTTATTTTATTTCTGCAACATGTTTTAATAACATTGATTTATTTATTAATAATTTATTTTTACTTCCTGTAATCAGGACTCGACACGACGTTTTCGTCCAGGATCACTTCCACCAATCTGGAATCCTTTAGCTCTGTTAGACTTGAACAATATTATGCGTAAGATAGACAGGATGGGAAAAGAGGTAAGGCTAAATGTCAACAACATTTTACTACGTATGGTATGTGTTGTTTCAATACGTAAATCTGAATACACTTACCTGTTTCTGGGTATGTGTTGTTTCAATACGTAAATCTGAATACACTTACCTGTTTCTGGTATGTGTTGTTTCAATACGTAAATCTGAATACACTTACATGTTTCTAAACAATCGCATAGATAATTATTTCGAAAAACAACAACACAGTGAAGTTTTAACTTCTTTCGTCACTTCGACGAAAACGGATAAAACTTGACTCTAACCAGTTGAACTTAAACTGAAATGAATGATTAAATTAGGTAACGATTAGTTTATCATAAGAACAACTTGGAAAAGCGAAAATACAAAAATATAACTTTACTGTTTGGCCAAACATCTTCGTTTCGGAAATTGGCTTTAACTCATTTGTAGTAACCAAGATGTCTCTAATATTATTTTTAGATGGTAATTAGACCCTGATTATGGTGGTAATTATTCTCATATGTGTTGTTGTGGTGATAAATGATTCTCACGGGTATTGCTGTTGTGGTAGTTCTTTTTTGGATGTGTTATAGAGCTAGTTATCTCCACATGTATTATTACTGTTGTGGTAGTCATCAACATGTGTTGAGCTGGTTCTGCCTGGATGTGTTATTGTGCTAGTGATCTAAACGTATTATTGCTATAGTGGTAACACCCACAGATATTGTAATTTTGGAAGTTCTTCAGTTATAGCGTTATGGTAGACATACTCGCATGTGTTTCCACACGTATTGGGGCGGTAGTAATCTCCACAAGTTTTGAGGGGTATTTCTCATTGCAGCTATTTTTATTTTAAAGTTAAATTATTGTTTTCGTGAGAACGAATTTTGTTGTCCTTACATATTTTTCTCCTCCCTAAGATCTTCAAGGGGCTCTAAATCATTATCAAAGGCCTTAAGAAGGTTTATCGTTTATATAAGTCGTGACATCCAGAGATACCCAATACCCCCCCCCCCTCATCCTAATTATGGGACCTTGCAATCGGCACTAAGCATGACACTCATATATACGACATATAGCTTTGTGTAACTCTACAGCTAACTTTTTTTTCCAGATTCCGGTAGAAGCACCTTGGAAAGCACCTCATGCGGAAGAGTGGGATAAAATGACGTTTCTACAGTTTCTTAACGACACCTGCTGGACGAAGTAAGAACTTTTTTTGCAGTTTTATTTGTTTTATGGCCGTCATTGAACAGTATTAAATTAGATTACAAAAAAAGCATTAGATCTTTAAGATTTAAAAATCGGATAATAACATATTTGGAAATTAGGCCTACTTATGTAAAAAATACCGGATGATATTAGAAATGTGTATTTATTAGTTTCCCAATGTGTCAGTGGTAAGTTTATGGACGTATAACGCTAAGATATGGGGTTCAATTCCCGAGGGGTACAGAGTGCTGATAACGATCAATTTAAATTACAGATTACAAAATAAATTTGACTTTTGACATTGAAGGTAGAGCTTCCTACCAAATGAAATTTGGTTGACTCTTCAAATGTGGGTTTCATCAGCTATGCAATACGCACGTGATCTTTGATTGGTCAGATAAAACTTGCTAATTACAACAATTAAGCCTAACATTATCAATCATTGCTTACACGAGAAATGTTACAAATGTTGCCATAATACTTAAGTTTAATTTATCTATGTAAAAATTCCTGAGGAAATATTAATAGTACCAAGTATTACATACACGCCTTGAAAATGTTTGAAATGTCCAAAAAAAGCATAATAAATTTAAATCTGATACATATATAGTCAAAAAAGGCCAAGAATTCAAAATTCGATGAGCGTTTACAACAATATGCGATGCACATTCTAGATCACATTTTATAAAAACAGTCTTACATAATAGTTTTAATAGTTTATATTGTTGGGTTTAGCACTCGTCATAAATAGTTTGTATTGTTTGGTTTAGCACTCGTCATAATTTCTTTCAAAAAATAGCAAGAAACAATTCGCATAAGAAAACTTGACATCACATGCGCATGAGTAATGAATGCTTTAGTATGTTTTCAAACCTTTAATAAAAATGCTTTAATTTCAAATGAGTAATACAACGTTCCCATAATCTTATTTCAGCAATGCTTTGTAATTCTGTCTGATTTCTCTCTGTATGCCCGTGGTCATACGTTTCAGAATCATCAAATACCGTATAGCAAATAACCAAAACATTGTACGAGACAGCACTCCATGTGGCCAAAATGTTAAACTTTAACAAACTGTGGAAAACCGCTATACAGAGTTTTTTTTATCACAGTCATGCGGAGAGGACCAGGCGTGGCCTGATGGCTAGCGTGCTTGGACTCTGAATTCGAGAATTTATGGTTCGCGGTTCTTTGCCATAAAAAATATACTCCGTATCATGAGGACATGGGTGTGCTATAACAGTGACGATCAAATTTCAATATTCGGTCAAACAGGAGTAAGGCAAAAATTGGTGGTGGGTGCTGTTGGTTAGCTGCTTTACCTCTGGTCCACCAGTTCAAAATTGGGGACAGCTATGCGCAGGTGGTCCGTTGTGTAGCTATGCGCGAAAACTTTGAAACAAGCTGTCAAAGTCATGCAAAGAACTAAAGAGCTAATCACATGAAAACAAACACAACTTCTATAAAATGATAACTTATTAGTTGTATGCCCTATAGTATTCATGCCTTATTTGAACGCTTTTCAATGTTTCGTACAGCGTAAATGTTGACCCACTAACACGAATGTTTTATAATAAAACAAATCGACATGAAAACAAGTTATTATGCCATCACTATACACTATAACTTAATCTGAAAACAAGACGAGTATACAACTAAAACATCCGGCTTTATTAGACTTCTAGCTTAAATATCATTAGAAAAATAATAATAATTCCTGTTATTATCTGGCATCCCGGAGAAAGTTTGTTCGTTGTTAATCACAAAGCTAACCAATGGGCTATCTCTACTCCTCACACCACGGATATCAAAATCTGATTTTTTGGGCTTGAGGGCTTAGTGATAATTTTCTAAGGGCTTAGTGATAATTTTTTCCCATTGTTGTCTATGTAACTCGAAACATAATCTATACGGAAACATTCATGAATTTTTCTTAACTGTTCCACAACTATGATGTATGACATACTTTAAGTTTCTACATTTTTCTTCTATGTAGAACAGTAAAGGATTTTAGCAAGCTCTTTATCAACGTTAACGTCACTTCAGAAGCGTATGAGGCCTCACTTCTGTGGTTTTTATGGTATATCAAGCAATGTGGAGGAACAAAGCGGATTTTCTCAACAACTAACGGAGGACAGGTTATTTTTCTTTTAAGCATTTGGAAATTGTTTTGCATATTATAGACTCGGATGATGTATCGATGCGTGAGTTTTTTTCATTATTTTTGTAGCTTCTTCAATGAAAATACTGTGTAATCAAACAGTTTTCAAATCGCCCCTAAAAGTGACTTTCGGCTTATCATGAATGATGGTTATTATAGAACCAACACCATCAATGTTTAGAAACTACGTAATGAAACTTTAATATTTAGAAGATACTTGATGAGGTCTAGGCAATTAAACTTTAATGTTTAGAAGCGAGTTCGTGGGGGTTTAGATAATTAACCGTTAATGTTTAGAAGCTAGCTCATGTGGTTTAGGTAATGAAACTTTATTATCTAGAAGCTAGCTCGTGCGGTTTGAGTAATGAAATTTTAATGTTTAGAAGCTAGCTCGTGCGGTTTGGGTAATGAAACTTTAATGTTCAGAAGCTAGCTCGTGCGGTTTGGGCAATGAAACTTTAAT